AGGCTGATGGTGACAGTTGCCTGGATTGCATCATTGCCTGCAACGAGACATGGTGTCATTGCAACAAGCTAGTGTCATAATGGCAGCCCACGAAATCACAGTACCTCAATTCCTCATAGAAGAAAAACTTCAAGATGCAGCCCTCATTAAATTGAGGTGCACAGTCTTTGGGAAAGTGGGGATCAATCTGGATTTCCTGGAACCCAAACAAATCATTGAGTATGACCACTACATCGCAACATGAACTCAGCTGAAGGCTTGAACATTCAGAGATAAGCCACAGAAGAAGACAACTTTTCTCCTGCCATGCAATAAAACCATGCTGGACTGTGTACTACACTCATCATATAGTCAGAATTTGGCACCTTGTGACTTTCATCTGTTCAGGCCAATAAGAGATGGACTGTATGTTTGTTTTGCCTTTTTAAGGCTGATGTCATTATTACATGATCACTGATGCCTTGAAATTGCTACCCTATTTAAAATAGCTATAAAAATATTTTTATTTTACTGAGAGTGGAGTTTTAAAGGCTATTGCTGTAACAAGAAAATAAAGTCTTTCTAGAAGCGGAATAGGAAGTTATGAAATAACTCATGTAATATTGTACCAATCCTTTCAGTTTCATGTTTGAAATGAGTAGAGGTAGTTCATTCTCTGCTCTAGCATGTTTTCAGGATGTTTCTGCAGTTTACCAAGGTTATATATATACACATCTATGACAATTTTATATTTGCTACAGACAATAAGGATTAAGCTCTTAAGCTGATGCATGTTTTTGTTTGTTTGTTTGTTTGTTTTTTAATGAGTGTAGAAACAACTGAAGGCAAGATGCCACTGCTGATTTTGTAAATACAAAATTCTGTTTTAAAAAATTTCATCCTCAAGGTAATTTGGAAGAAAAAAAAAAAAAAAAAAAAAGCTGTACCACAGACTACTTAAAAAGAACATATCAGATAAAAGAAGATGGGACAAAACTGCCAATATTTGCAAACAGCCACAGACTGTACTGGCAGTCATACAGCCTTGCTGTCAGACCTTATAAATTAAGCAGTGGTACGTGTGGCAAGTAGTTGGATGGTAGTCCTCTGAGGAACACAGTTTTTATAGGCAGTAGTAATGGAGATTAAGGAGTTCTTCTCTTTCCACTGACTCGTGCTGAATCAATGCCGCTACACTAAATAATAGGGTAACTGGGGGACACTACACTACACCAACAGTTCTATTGTTAGGTCTAACTTTGTAAAGGTAATTAAGGACACCACCACTACACATCACACCTGATAAGACACCTAGACAGCCTCAGCCAGATTCCTGAGGGGACTAACCCTTAAGAGCTGCTGTCTTCCAGCTCTTCACCTTTTCCCATGTTATAGTTTCAAGTCATTGCTATTACTACCTCAACAAATACTCTTCTGTTTGTGTTTTTAATTATGCTATCTCCTGACATAGCTAATAGTTTATCAACTTTAAACTTCTTAATTTTCTTAGCCAAAGTAAGCATAGGTCACATCACTGCACTGCACAGAAATAAGCCTTGGATCGCAGACAGATGAGGGCTGAAGGCTGCAAATTCATTAAAATTACTACATACCTTTCCTGCTAGCTATTCTTTCTCAGGAAATGGAATAATGAGAATGGAAAAGTCTTGCCTATTTACCCGTCTCAATTGACAAATACCGAATTGCAAATTTCCCTAGTTGAACTTTGGATCAATGTGAAATGCATGAAGAAACAGAGCTTTCTGCAACTTAAACACTTCTTATTTGATCCTGGAATGTGCATTTTTAAAATTGCGTAATTAATTTGAAAATTATGTTGCAGAGAATAAGTTCATCACAACACAGAGATGGGCTGAAAAATCAAGTTGTCTACATTGCAGTCTTAAGTCTTTATCCTAGTGCCTAAGCAAATATTTCGTTCAGAAAAACAAAAACAACAACAACAACAACAAAAAAAACTAACAAAACCACACCAAGCACTCATTCTTCTTGAGTGGCCCTAGTCAAATCTATTAATGGAATCAGCAGACCAGCTTCAATGCCTTTGGCTCAATACATACCCAACTTTTCTTCCCTTGATGTCTGTTCACTTTCATTATCAGAAGTAAAGCTAACATTTGTCTTTTCTTATTTTAAAATCATGCTTTAATTGGTTACACATATTCTTTAATATAATCTGTTATTCAATCAGGAAGTCTTTTGTTTCCATTTCTACCAATAAATATATCACAAGAAAACAGAAGAATTACGTACATTTTCTAATAAGAATCATTTTTCTTTAGAAGTACACTACACTTACAAAACTAATCTTTAATGCACAATCAGTGTATTTTGGCTTCTGAATTCAGACTTATACCAAATCCAGGAAAAAAAAAGGACTACAGTTTAAACAAAAACAACACATTCATTGTGTTTTGGTATGGCAATGGTATAGCAAAAGTAGAAAAAGTGGTGGCAACTCATTTGTTCTTAATATACTGCTGTGATATGTATCTGTATATATATGTATCAAAAAACCATTCTTGTTTTCAACTGAGAGCTGAACAGTTGAGAAGAGGAATGTTACTGGGCAAGTACCAGTGCAGTACTGCACGGGAGGAGTTATTAAAATAAATTCAGTATCCATACATTGAATTGGCACAATATATTTTTAAGCTATTGTATTAAGTTCCCTTAAATTTTCTGTACAGAATCAGGTGAATTTAAAAAGAAAATAAAAGATCTAAAGTCAGTAGAAGTAGTAAAAGTCTGCTGCTACTTACAAGGAAGTGTGATGAGCAACATTTTAGTCTCATAGCTTAGTCATTTGTTTGCTCCATGTAGAATGGAAAAAATATCAAAATAAATTTTCTACAGGCATATCAGTAGCAGAAATTGTATGTCTCCTGTTCCCTAGACATCATACTGGTTTTTAAATTACTAATTACACCACCTAACTTCATAACAAACCACACAAAATGGAATCACTTTCCTTCCATCCAGAGGGTAAGAATGAATGAATTACAACTTCTCCTTATGCTGTTCCGTCATGGCAGTCATGAGGTCTTATAAAGACTGCAAAGATGTAGCCTTGTTCAATACAAGAAACTTGAAGACATCTTGGTTAGTTGGTTTGTGTCCTACAGATTGTGTATGTTAAGATACATGGGTTTCAGAATTACTACACTAACACTATAGATGACCATAGTCTAACACTATTACACTGATATAGCAGAGAAACTATTGTTAAATCGCTAATGAATTCACTATTTGGAATTAAATTTATTTGGAGAGAATGTTGACCAGAAGAAATTAGAATGACTGACTGGTAATAGAACCACCACATAATACCTTTTACATCTCACCCTCATTGAAGAAAAGATATAGTCATGTGGAAGTAATGTATGGCATTAATAACAATGCAGATTTATAAAATGGAAGATGCAGTAGAAAGGATCTCCATTCATTTCCTTTTATATTGTCTTCAATTTGGAAGTGAGGTATTTTTTATTTCAGTGATAAATCTAGAAACACTTAAGCTATTACAAAGAATTACATCCTATTGATAAAATGCTACAGAGCTATTCTATTGCAGTCTAATGGGAAAAAGACACAGTGAATAATAAGAAATCATATGAAGACAAACATCTTAATTAGCTAGATTCTACTATAATTCCATTGCAATTTTTGCAGCACTTTTACAAACTATTCTATTCATCCTCACAGTTAAAAATACAGTCATCCAGTAAATATCTATTACAATATTTTACAGAGCAGGAGCCTAATCCTATTCCCATTAAGTTCTCATTGACTATAGAGAGAAACTTCACCCAGTATGCAAAGTCAGCTAGAATTCCACAGTTTTCTATATTTTCAGAGGCAATAATACTTGGGAGTTTGCCATATATAACCAAAATTCCTTACAACTCACATAATTTCCTTGCTTCCTTTTGACCCATTCCTTCTTAGAAACCAATGCAAATCTTTGGAAGACGGGCATTTTTTTGGAGCTGACCTTACAGGACTTATTTAAGCAGTCAATATCTCAATATCTCATGCATGCACATGTGAGGGGAAAAAAAAAAAAAAAAGCTCTTTTCAGGTTTGCCTTCTACTTCCATTTACACAAGCTACCATACCAGGAGAAGGTCTGCTCCTCTACATCATCTTCCCCAAAAATCCCTTTATTGCTCAGCAGCAAGTTTCAGTTTCAGAGGAATTAATTTTAAGTATTGAGCTCCATTAACTAAGGAAATTCATTTTACTGACAGTCTGTGGTGGAGGCATACACACAGAAATGGAAGATCACACTTTTCCTTCCTTTCTTTTGCATATTTAATAAACCTGATATATCTTTTTCTTCTCTAATAGACTAGAGCAGTTGTACGCTATGCAAATACTACCCTAGTATAGGCAGCTTTTGAGAAAAAAGGGAAATGGGAAGGGTCATTTACCTACAAAAGGAACTGAATGTTAACATATGATTGCACAAGGAAATGTTTTGTAATGCACGTAAGTATTCCAATTGTAAATAGTGCCAAGAATGTTGTGGAATTCAGGTATATTTTTATGAAATAAAAAAAAAGTACACAGTAGGAAGATAATGACTTTCATTGACATCCTGACTTGCATTAAAACTTCCTGAGAGAAAACTTATATACTTTGCATATCTGAGAGCATTTGGTTATTTTTGACATTGCACCTCTTAGGTTTTTTAGAAATAATTGGATACTAAGTTGCCACTTCATTGTGTAACTTGTTTTAGATTGAGACAAGCCAAATCACAGTGCGTTAAGAGAGATCATTATTTTGAGAGCTTTGCATTAAAGGACAGTGATAACTGGTTAATTGTTTTCCACAGCACAGAAAATAATAGAACTATATTTTTATCTCAAGGGCATTATGGCAGAAAAGTTGATGTAGTTACCAGGGCAGCAATGAAATACTTCAACACAGTACATAACAAATCATCTGACCAGGGCCCATAGCGTCAGCCTTCATATTACAAGCACAAGCAGATAGCAAGATAATGGCAGCATTCCATTGTTTGCTTTCTGTCACCATCTTTTATTCTGAATCTAAAATACGAAAGAAAAAATATTCAACAAAATATTCTAGTATGTAACAGTCATTGGATCAAGAACAAGTTTAGCTACAGCGATATTTACACTAAATAAACACTAATCAAAGAGTGACTCTTCCCAAGCTATGGCTCTTTTGAGCAACCAGACATGCACAATCACAGCAGGCATTCTGGCATGAGTGTAAACGTATTTAGATTGAAGAAAAATGCATGGAGAATAAAATCCTTATGAGATCGTCTCCTGTCACCTCTCAGGAAGAGTTTGGAAGGGCACAGTACCAACAGATTACATCATACTGTTAAAGTTTATTTTGTCATAGTCTGCACCATATAAGCAGTAATATTAAATAAATTCAGAAATATATAAATTCACATTGAATGTGCCATCTTGCACTTGGATAACTGTAGTCGTGTTTTGGAGCCAGGACACAGTAGCAAAAAAGCTACATATTTACGTACACAATATCTAGCCTAGTACCTGACCTGAGCTAGCATACCTGGCCTGCGGACCTAGGCTGGAGTAAAAATATTTTGGTTTAAGAGAAGAAAGGTAACTAACACAAGTAAAGCTCAGAGTGTCATTTACAGATTCAACCTGCATCAGTCGTATGCGTATTTATTAGTTTAAACTTAGGGATTTAGTAAAGAATGCTACTACTCAAGTATAGGGAAATAAAGATCCTTACTGCTATTTGGTTTAAAATCATTTATATGACTGTTAGTTACACGCAATACAGTGATACATCAAGTTTAAATTGTGCGCATCAGTATATAAACCATATTCACAGCTATCACTGGAGAACTATGAGTAAACCATGTCATCTGAGTGATCTCAAAAAAAAAACACAACAACAACCCTGGAAACAAATTAAAATTAGCCCACAACACCATGCCCCTATCATGCTTACAGTGTATGAAGTCAGCTTTGATTTCTTTCAGAACTGTAGGTCTGTCATCAAATTTGCAACGATGAAAGCAACTGTGTGTCAACATGTAAAATGTAGGGATCTCTGAAGGAGTTTCTCAAATAAAAACTTTTGCAAGTACTGTAATATCTAAATATCAATATATTCTAAAAAAAAGAAAGCAAAAAAATTCTAGAGAAGCAAAGCACACCTTCAACATAAGACATAGAAGACAAAATGGTAACAACTGGAAAAACAGCATGCTGTACTTCATGCATGCATGCAGTATCATGAAAGAGCAGAAGACTAACAAAGTTCAGTGACTAACAAAAAATAATTTAGGAGTGTCAATTAGTTAACAATATTCAAACAAAATCAACATTTTTTGTCTTGTTTTGTTTCGCTTTTTTTTTTTGTTGTTTTTGTTTTTTTTTTTTTTTTTTGGCTTAGGATTGTCATCCAGGGGCAAATTGAAATACAAATTACTTCAGAAAATACAGTTTTTCTAAGCTCTAGTCATTTTCAGTACAAATACTGTAAGTGCTAAGGGTGCACGTCAAAACAAAAGAATTAAATATTTCTTTTCAAATGTGATCAATCTTAAATTTTTTTGGAAATTCTTAGTATCCATTTCGACAATATTATATTTTAACATACTGCTTTGATACTTTTGTTAGCGTTGTTTTATTCTATAAAAATATTATCCAAGCGCTGATGTGCTGAAATCAATAAGATGAGGTGGAGATGTTTAAGAAATGGCTAGATCAAGCTGAGTATTTCATTACCTTTCCTACAAGCATTTTTTGTTTGTTTTCAATCTGCTCTAGTAATTATTTAAAAAAATATCAGAATGAGTTTGTGGCTTGAATCTTAACATACAAATATCAAAGTGTTTTCTTAAACATCATTATTTTCATAAGAATTTGCAGCCTGAGAAGACTGTATTTCCCAATATGCAAGGTGAACTAGAGAAATACTGTCAAGGTAGAAAAAGAATAAATGAATTTATTTTGTAACAGGACCTTGACATACTACATCCATTGCTGCCTTTGAAAGCTGTACAAAGCTAAGCTCCAAAACATTTTTAAACCTATCTGTAAATTAGCCCATGTGGTAGGCAAATACCTATGATTTTTCTGGCCCAAAACACAACTCCAAAGCAAAGTAAAACTACTGACCTTCGGATGCATTAAGTCCTGTCAGGCACCAAATTTCCAGCGACAGTAGTTTAAAATCACAACCCTATTTAGCCACAGCTATAGGGCTGCCTTTTTTTCCCCACTTCTCACACTCTGAAATGCACTGCAATACACGTTTAGAGAAGGGGAAACGCATTCAGACATTCTGTCTGCGGTTAGTTTTTACTGTCTCGACTACAAAAGACAAAGAGGTCTTCTAGGCAAAATTTACTTGAAAGAAACACAAACAAGACATTAGGCCTCCCAGGTTGTTTTTATTCCCTAGATAACTAGAAGTCAGTCTCAATAAAGTTTTCTCCCTTAGGAAGTTCAAAACAGTACAGAAACAGCAGTGACTTTCAAATCACAGCAGCATAGTATTATTGGTTCCCAGAAATGAACATTTCCTAGAAATTCTCTCACACATTTCAACTTTTCTGGGAATTTAAACGTCTGAGTTAAATTATATGAATAATGTAACATTCTTAAATTGTGCTCTCTTATACCAACTGGAAAGAGAAATTTAAATGAACTACACATCTGTGATTTATCTAGACTCTGTGGTCTGATTATCTGCCCACTTATCTGGTTAAATTCTACTTTGGTCCATAATGATGATGATGTCTTCACTTGTTAGACCACTTAGAACTTCATCCTAAGACAATTTTGTCAGTTCAGTTGTTAGTTTTCACAACAATATTTGATTTAAAAACCTCAGTGGACATACGTATGTATAGTGCTGACCTTATTTGACTGCTCCAATTCTCAATTAATTATTCAAAGAATATCTATGTATCCTCAAGGTAATTAGAACACACAAAAATACAATTCAAGTCATCACACATAATGTCTTTATGAAAGGAATAAAGAAATAGCAATCCAGAACTACCTGGAATCATCAGTCCAAAGGCTGATAGAACACAAAGCAACGCTTGCTATGCAGTTGGCATATGACTATGCTATTCATCATGGAGGGAGTTATGATGTCCAACAGCATGTTATTTCAAAGAAGCATCAAAAATGTTAGAGCATCAGAGCAGGAACTGACAGATCTCTGCAACACGGTTCTCTAGTTCAAGATACCAGGCAGATGCACTTGTGATGCGTCATCAAATTCTCTTTTGCATGTGCTTATTGTAGATCAAAGCAATGACACAAGAGATGAAAAATTGCTGGCTCTGTTCTATCTTTGATCAGAGGCTACACTTCTTTTTTCAAATCAATTTCTTTAGTTTGCCTCAGTGCTTTTATTGGATCAGAGAGTCACTATATGCTTTGTTTGTCAACTCCTATGAACATGACTGAATCCTTATTTGCACCTTGATTGGATTTTCTGTGGACATTGTTATGGACTCACTGACCATGAAAACTGTCTTGCTGTCATCTGTATTTGCAAAGTTGGTAAATGTGGTGTCTGCAAAATTAGACTATTATAAGATAAAAATTCATCATATGCTTGAATAGATCTGTGCAAATTCAGGAGTTAGTATTCTTCTCATCTCCTATCTTACTACAGCCAAAGCAAGAATTTTAGCAGAATACATTCAAAAGAAATTTTCTACTGTTCAACACAGCTGATGCCTAAAGAGTTCCTGATACATCACAACATACTGCTCAAAGGAGCCAACCATAGTCAAAAGGTGTAAATGCTGTCTGAACCTTCAGTCTGAACCTGCCTTGTACTTCAGCCAATGAAATGTAATGTCAGCAGTAAAATATACATAACTGCCAGCCTCCTCCTATTTTCATAAATTTTTTGAAGTGAGATAAATATTTTCATATTTCTTCCTCTTTGGATGCATCAAACTTGACATGACACCAAGCAATTCAAACTACCTTGGCCCTAATCCAAGTAGAGGATTGGGCCAGACATCACTCAGAAGTCCCTTCCAACATTTTCCTGTGCGGCTTTATCTGAGATCTGTTGTTATAAATTTAAGAATGAATCAACATCTATTGTAAATGTATATGAAATGTTCAAAACACTTCAGTTTCAATTTTTTTTTTTTTTTCTTCCATTTTTAATTACAATTAGCAGCTTCCCCATTCCCAGTCCCAGACATCAGTCCCTTAGTTGTAGTGAATTTTTTGGGAAGTTTGTTTTTTGAGTATATTTCAAGGACACAAAATCTGAGATTCTGAATACTGGCCTTTTAGTTGTTTTATTTTCAGTAACAATGTCCCTTGCTGTGTTAAATATAAGAGAAACTTGAATAACACAGTGCTCAGTCTCCTCAATATCAATCTTTGAACAAAGTTAGTGAGAAAAAAAAAATCCACAGTGTGCAAGATATTCAAGCTAAGGCACTACTATCCTAGTTTCTTTATCATAATTGAACACATCACAATTTCTCTGTTATAGCTACCATTAAGAGAGCTATGCTGATTTCAAAACAGAAGATGTGTGCTGGGGCACCAAAAGGCAGTCATGGCCTGCAGGCAATCTGGGAACTGAAAGCCTGCAGTCAATAGCACACAGGTCCCAAAGAACAAAATTTCAACATTATCCTCCTGCAAAGGAAAACATTTACTTTGCAACCAAATAAAACCATGACTTGAACAGTTACAGTAGCATAGGTCAGAAAAGCAACTTCTGGCTAGCTACATTCAGACTACTTGGGAGCCTTGTGCACCATGATAGGCTGCTAGCATATGGATACAAACTAAGTAGTTTAGCTCGAACTTCAAGTGCTAAGCATATGGATGAAGCTGCTAAGAAATTTTTATCACTCCTCCCACCTCCCACCCACACAGATATTCAAAGGATCCATTCTCCCAGATTATCAGTTCAGCTCCTGCATAAATACCAAAATCATAAATTCTGATACAATGTTTCTCTTCCTTCCTTGACCATACATACATATATGATCTTAAAACAATGTATTTTACTCACTGTATTGATGTTATAAGCT